GGACAATTCTACATCAAGCTAAAGCGTCGAGTCTAATGCAACATCTTTACTCGATGGAAATCTCACCCCAAGGGACAGAAAATGTCTAATTTCATAATGCAATTATTTGTTTGCACCAGAGACAACATACCTTGTCAAGTACACGTTAATAACACACTACAATGTAAATGAAATATACAAATACTTAACGATGTTGACTGGCACACGTTATTCAAACGCGCAGTTCGACCTTCATCCATAATTCCATCATGTATTCATGATGTTTGTAAGCTCTAAATTTAAAATAAGCATTTTTCAGAATTGAATCTTGAGTTCTTACACTTCAAACATCAACTTTAGGTAATTTCTGTTTTGGGCAACACATATTTGTTTTCTTAACTTATGATGAAAACAAACTTTTATTCAAACATCCTCATGATTTGGGTTTAACGTCTGGTGCAAGATTATTGCACTTATGTAGCTATGTGCATGATCGTGTGTGTGTGGCTGCTTGTACTAGTCCAGACTGATGCGGATTTATAGTGCTAGCCCACTGAGATACCATGCCGCAGTTTAACAAGAATACCCCACTCAGACACAGTATACTGACTCCGAGCCGACCAGTCCTTGTTTCAGCCCCTTAATGCCAAGCGCCAGACCGGGTAACAAGAAGTACCATCTTTTAACGTCTTTTGGTATGACGCGTCCGGGGATCGAACCACGGACCTTCCGCTCTCTGGGCAGACACTCTACCACTAGACCACAGAGGAGGTCCCCTCATGATTTGAAAGTCATAGCTATGAAACGTATTTAAATACCGGGCAGTTACATTGTTACAGTGTGTAACACAGTATGTGACACAGCAAGTGAGTTGGGTTCAAGTATTAAACATTATTTCAGTTTTATCAGAGCTATCATCTTACAAAGGATTGAAAGCCAAAGAAGTCAGTCACTGACATTTACCACTTTGGTGAAACCTTCAAGTATTGATATGGTGCTGATAAACCACATCTGGGATTCGAACTCATAACTAGCAGATCCTGGTATGGATAAGGGCTGCAACTCAGCAAACTGCATCAATAAGGGCATCCTGATCAGCCATTGAGCCAGTGTACCCACTTATACCTCATACAGATATATACTACTGTATAAGGCAATTTTTACCTAGAATTACGCGGCTTTCAAGGGGGTCACCCTGTACACAGGGTTGAAGAGTTTTGATGTTTTTTCCCCAACACAAAGACAGTACCATGAGCTCTAACATCAGAAATACCATGTCAACAAATCTGTACTGTAGTACGAAAATGAATCTTGTAATTACACTGTCTGTTTATAAAAAGTGTTCACTGTATATCTGGACTTGTTTGTAATTTGTTTTATTAATTTTATTCAAAATTTCATTCGATATTGTTTATATTCAGCGTTTTTCGGCGTAATTGTGTGTGAAGTGATTGGAAGATCGCACAACTCACTGTTATTTACAGCAACCACGGTCATATTACCGCCATTGACGCCTTGAAACAAACTTTAGTGGACAGAGAATGGATATATATATATATATATATATATATATATATATATATATCATAAATGTAATTATTTTACGGCGGAAGTCAAACACATTTTTATTGCAAATGTAGGTATTGTGTATGTGCTGGTGATGTGCTTCATTCCGATCCGCTTTATAGACAGGGTATATAAAATAGCATCAGTTTTGAAGACTTTCACAGGGAGGTCCCCTTATAAGTGGGGGTCGCTTCATAGACATATAATAAGGAATAGATAAAGATATAAGATATATAGATATAAAAAAAGCAATCAATCATCAACACTGACCAACCAGGATGCATGAGCCAAACCATTGAAATTCAAAACAAGGGGAGATAACTCTGACAGTCATACTGCAATCATGCCCACTGAAGAAGTTAAAAAAGTTTGTCATCAATTCAGACTTGTTCCGAAGTAAAATTAAGAATCAAAGCAACAAATATATCTACTCCATACACCCCTGATTGGAGACACTGCTATTCAAGGCTTATTCAGCGTTCTGTGGTTCATCCCGCTCCTAACCAACGCCTGTCACGCTGTCAATACCACAGCCCCTGACAACAGAGAGGGATCAGGCTGGCAGCCATGTAATCACCCAGCATAGGTCCCATGGGGACACACATTACAGAAAAACGCACTCTCATTGTGCTCTTGTAATTAGCTTTTTTCCTTGTGCTGGACCCCGTCATCCTATGACAGGCCTCCCTGATGGACACGTTATTAACGAGATGGTTAGTTAATTGTACCATGTGGTCAGGTTCATTCTGGGCTCTGTCAGAACTAAGCTGGATGATATGACAAGCTCAGCACTTCTGTCGGAGATGAAAGGGATGTTCTCAAACGAATTTGGGATAGTTTTAATGAGAACATAAAAAAATAGGACCGCAGGACTTAGAAGTTGGCTCGCCAGGTAAAAGCGAATGAGAAAAATGTTTTTAAGAAATGCCTCTTCTCAACTCAAGAGATGAAATACTACAAATCCTGCTGGAAATGAGGTATGTATGCAGGTGTACTCCATCAAAGGCACCAGTGTTCAATGCCTGATGGCATCATAAGGAACCAATAGCCTTGATCGACATTGTAAAAATAGAGAAGTTTCTATTTTTCTATCTCAGTGTGAAGTAGTTGTGAGACAGACACCATGTAATGTGATGGTGCCATGATATAATGGATGATGTCATTCTTCAATGGATAACATCATTCTTCAATGGATGACGTCACATGCTTCCGTGATAACTGAACACATCCGGATACATGAATGTGTAAAATACAAGTAAATCTATTATTTAACTGTTATTTATTTAACGTGGTATGCATTTTGCAAAGCGGAAGATCTCATTTTTCAAATTTGGGATTAAGGAAATCATTATACCTATCGTGATAAGTATACAATGAATAGTCAAAGGGGTTTTCAGGCTTTGAATCCCTTTTATTCAACCAATCTGATTTTCAACCAATCAGATTGCAGCACACCTATTTTCCAATTTATTGTATCACTCACTCATGAATGTTGTTTTATGCTAAAGTCACTACCAATATTCCAATCATACAACAGTAACTCCTGACAAAACTAGGGACAATATGACATGCAAACAGCCACATCACCAACTGCAACAACTAGATTCCCATTTAAATCACATCTTCCATGAGTACAGGTTCTGGGGATCTATTTTCCCCCCGGAATCCCCACTGGAAAGATGAACTTGTCATAAAACTTCCCCGTTCATTTTGATCAATCATTTCGGCTTTGTAAAAATGTCATTCCAAAATGGTGGCCTGAGACATCTAACTTAGCCGTGTCCGCAGAGATGGTGCTTCAGGAACATGACTCTTCATCAGAAAGCCATAACATTTTGATATGATCCCCTGGATGTATGGAATGACACATTGAATGATAAAGAAGCCAGTGATTTCATTATCAGCTGGAAGTAAGTCGTGTCGGCACGCCCTGACACACAATGTTATCAACATGCAACATCAATGTCAAACTCAGAGTTGGGTTTCAAAGGCATCGTCGGAGGTTTAAAGACTCTTTTAATTCCTTGCCAAATATTTATCATGCTTAATACGCTGCTGACAAATACTTATAATTCTCAATAATGATTAACAGATTATAAAATTGCAGTTTATAACTCTTAATGTTCACTGGGGAGATAATATTCGTTCAAAACATCAATAATGGCTGGTCAAAATATACTTCAAAACAACTGGGTTCTTGTGTCCTTCTGAATAAGTCTTGTTCTGGGAGACAAATTTCTAAGAACTGGGCAATGAAATAAAGAAGTGGTTGACTGGTTCGTGTGACTGGTGCACTTACAGTGTAAACATTGTTGGGACATCATTCACCATGGCAACAGTTTTCAATCTAGGAATAATTAATGGTACTTAACTTAATTGATATCAATATTGATAAAACACTTACCCAGTATCAAACATCATAAAATCAATATGTAAGCGTGCGATCGTTTTCTGAAACTGCTTACAAAGTGTCTCAAAATGCAGCAACATATCAGTGATGACATAACACAGTTAGAAAGAAATGAGTAAAGACGAAGTTAGTGCATATGTACCAGCATGGATTGGTGTCAGAATATGGGAGTGATTGAGTGATTGAGTGAGTGAGTGAGTGAGTATGGTTTTACGCCGCTTTTAGCAATATTCGAGCAATATCACGGCAGGGGACACCAGAAATGGGCTTCACACATTGTACCCATGTCGGGAATCGAACCCGGGTCTTCGGCGTGACGAGCAAACGCTTTAACCATTAGGCTACCTGACCGGAGTGATTGAGAGTAGGGTCATGGTGTGTGAATGAGTGTCTTATGTTTGTTTGTTTGTTTGTTTGTTTGTTGTTTAATGCCGCACTTAGCAATATTCCAGCTATAGGAAGACGATCTGTAAATATTCAGGTCTGGACCAGACAGACCTGATCATGAGCATCAATCACCTTCCATGGCAAGCATGTGTTGCTGAAGACCAATTCTTACCCTGAATCTTCCTGGGTCTAGTACATATGTACCAGCATGGATTGGTGTCAGAATGGGTAAGTGATGGAGATGAATGAGGGTGAATTAGTGAATGAGGAGGAGAAATAAGGAGTCGCACACAAGAAGCTGGATGGGTAAATGGCTGGACAGTGCTCCAGGAACAGGATCCATTAGCGTGTCGGCCATCTATACTCAAAAGATGAGTGATTTGATCATGTGACTTTTTTATGTTTCTTGATATTGTCTTGTGTGTGAAGTACATGCTGGTACAATTGGGACAAAGTATTAAAGAGAAATGACAGAATGACGATCACAAAACTGTCTCTCCATGGTGGGCTGTAAGTAGAAACCATGTCTTGAATGAAGAGACATCTTTACGAAGCTAGAGGTCCTTGCATCAACAGTCTGGCATAATTTAGTCGGGTTGACCTAAGCTGAGGAAAATAACACAAAAGACAAAATATCCAAAGAGTTGGAGAGACTTACTGTAGTCTTCATCTGACATGAAGTTGACATCGTTGTAGTCCACCTGGGGGTTGGGCGTGGTGATGTCATATGTGGGGTTGGATGCTGCCAAACTCTCTTGGTTCTGTGAGATGAGGCCAGGCTGGCCCATCAGTGTTGCATTCGCCTGGGCTGAAGACACAAAGTCACATGTCACCAATTTGGAGTTAGGAGTGAATGCGAGTATGTTATTCCAAGCTTCAGAGAGTAACATCGTTGACTGTAATTATGACATGTATCGGAATCTTGATCAGACAAACTAGTGAAAGATTCTGGGGATCTGGGGATCTTTTCTGTCCTGGATCACCCATTGCAAAATTAGCATCACATTTGTTGTTTGTATGTTTGTTGTTTAATGCCACACTCAACAATATTCCAGCTATATGATGGCAGCCTGTTTATTATAGAGTCTGGACCAGACAATCCAGTGATTGATATCATGAGCATCGATCCATGCAATTGGGATACAATGACATGCATCAACAAAGTCAGCAAGTCTGACCACCCGATCCCGTTAGTCGACTCTTACAGACAAGCACAGTCACCTCCTACAACAAACATGGTTGCTGAATGAAAGCCATGAGACCTCTTCTGCTTCAATCCCTTTGAGAAGACACTACGAAGATCAGACATATGAGTGATAGATCTCTGGAAATTACCTAACATATATATAAGTAAGAAGAATTTACATAAAACAGAGAATGGAATAATAACCTGAGATTACAAAAACATCTTGATTGGAAACTATTAGTTCACACAAATATGTCAAATCTGCAGAGAAACTGTTACATATTCTTTAAATAACCTTTTTAATATAATCCCACACCTTTAATGTTAACTAATACACTAAAAAGGAAACATCAAATCATAAACAGTTCAATGCAAACCAGTACGGTCTACCATGTGTTTCACTCTGCCAAACTTCAAACATGTAACAGTCAAAGGGAGGCTACTCTGATGAGCCTACTCGTCTTCCTGAAGCGTCACACTCATAGAGCACATAGATTTGCACACATATTTCAGAATCTCTTCCATATTAATAATCAACTGATTAAATTCATACTCAGTAGTGTGCACTGTGATATAAATCAATTCCACATCTTCTAGCATGTTGATTGATATGGTCATCAGGCCAATAAATATGACATATGTCATTCAGCCTTCACACTTTCAGAGTGAATCCATTTTCAGAAACGCCACACAGTGAACTGGATAAGAAACGAGGCCCAAGAGATAAGAAACTTCAAAGGTGTCCCAAATTGCCTATTGCCCCCTGGGTGTTGTAAATCTCGTTAAAATCAATTATCATCACGAGAGATAATTTAGGAGAAATATCTCATTTCTTATAACGCTTACAAGAAATTTACTTCACATCAGAAACTAGCAGATTAAAACTATATAGGTCAGACGAGCATAATTCACAGATTGTTTCACAGGACACAGGAAAAGTTTTTTTGAAAAACAAAAAAATGTTATTCTCAGGGATAACTGGAGGTTTTCATACAAAACAAATTAAATGAAAATGCAAACAACAGGATGCCAGTTTGTTTTGTTTTATATTAGTCCTTCTGCCAGCAGCAATAATCTAATCATTTAACTTTTTCTCTCGCTTTTGCGAAATTCTGGGTAGGTTTGCATTGTATGTAAAACATGCAATACAACACTCTGACCTTAACTGTACCGGTGGAGTCTTCTACAATACTTTACAGGTGTACAATGACAACAGATGGAGCCTAGACTTTTGTTTCTTGTCTTCTACAAGAGCCATTTAATGATTTTCTGAATTCTACAAGGAACAATTTATCATAATGGGAAGATCAACTCCTGTCAAACTATTGAAATTATGAAACAATAAATTCATTAAGAAATTATTCAGATAAATGACATAACTTACTTATGAACCTTTACAAGAGTGTATTTAATCACAAATGAATATTTACTCAACAATCAGTCAGTATACTGTCATTCATCTTTCTGTTGTTGCTGCTTCTAACACTATTCCTGCTTTATGGCGGCGTGTCAGCTTAATGTGGGAGGAAAACCAAAGTGATGCAGGCCTCATAGGTTTACCACCTTGGTGAAACCCCAGAGCAGGGGTATGGTGCTGACAAACCTAGAAACATATTTGTGGCGAACAAGGATTCAAACCCACAATCACAGGTTTCTGGCATGCCCAAGGGACGCAACCCTGTGGCGCCTAAGATGACTGGGCCACCGGTGACCCCGAATCAAGAAAGAATGAACTAAACGAAAATACACAAAATGCAGTTGAAGTCCCCCAAATTAATCCAAACACACTAGTCAGCAGTCCATAAAAGTCACCCTCATGTCAATGAATTGTGTCCAGATTACGTTAGCAGGAATCAAGCAAGACATTAGTGGAAGAGATACTAGCCATGTGTACACAATATAAGGAGTCAAGGTGAAGAAAGAAGTCAATAAATGCCATGTTGATAGCCCACTAACACCTAGTGCTTGTAATTTCTTATAAATACAAAGTCAAATTCTAGCTAATGTAAATGTAATATTACTCCACCTTTTCACATCAATTGAAAAAAATAACAATTATGATGATAATGACCCTTAATGACTCCACTGATATAGTGACCTCCTACATAATGGACTCCCCTATATCAAGGACCCCCCTATATCAAGGCCCCCCTATATCACGGACCCCCTATATCAAGGACAACCTATATCAAGGACAACCTATATAAAGGACTCCCCTATATCAAGGACCCCCCTATATCAAGGACCCCCCTATATCACGGACAACCTATATCAAGGACCCCCCTATATCAAGGACCCCCCTATATCACGGACAACCTATATCAAGGACCCCCCTATATCAAGGACCCCCCTATATCAAGGACAACCTATATCAAGGACCCCCCTATATCAAGGACCCCCCTATATCAAGGCCCCCCCTATATCACGGACAACCTATATCAAGGACCCCCCTATATCAAGGACAACCTATATCAAGGACCCCCTATATCAAGGACAACCTATATCAAGGACCCCCCTATATCAAGGACCCCCTATATCAAGGACAACCTATATCAAGGACAACCTATATCACGGACAACCTATATCAAGGACCCCCCTATATCAAGGACAACCTATATCACGGACAACCTATATCAAGGACAACCTATATCACGGACAACCTATATCAAGGACCCCCCTATATCACGGACAACCTATATCAAGGACAACCTATATCAAGGACAACTTATATCAAGGACAACCTATATCAAGGACAACCTATATCAAGGACTCCCCTATATCAAGGACCCCCTATATCAAGGACAACCTATATCAAGGACTCCCCTAAATCACGGACAACCTATATCAAGGACTCCCCCTATATCAAGGACCCCCCTTTATCAAGGACAACCTATATCAAGGACTCCCCTAAATCACGGACAACCTATATCAAGGACAACCTATATCAAGGACAACCTATATCAAGGACTCCCCTATATCAAGGACCCCCCTTTATCAAGGACAACCTATATCAAGGACTCCCCTAAATCACGGACAACCTATCAAGGACAACCTATATCAAGGACAACCTATATCAAGGACTCCCCTATATCAAGGACTACCCTATATCAAGGACCCCCCTATATCAAGGACCCCCTATATCAAGGACTCCCCTATATAAAGGACCCCCTATATCAAGGACTCCCCTATATCAAGGACCCCCTATATCAAGGACTCCCCTATATAAAGGACCCCCTATATCAAGGACCCCCCTATATGACCCCCTATATCAAGGACTCCCCTATATCAAGGACTCCCCTATATAAAGGACCCCCTTAAATCAATGAACAGAGGATAGTACAAGAATCTCATTGACATCAGCTGACTTTTCCCAATTTCCACGGAGTCTCTGTTCTCATTGTCTGTCATCCAGGTATTACCCAGTATGATTGCCAGTTGACACCCAATCTGTAACCTGAAGAATCAATGGTAACCTACATCCTGCCATAACCTCATCTCAGGATAGATCACTGCCCTCTCCCCTGGCTCCTCACACGGTCTGTGTTGACCCAATTCTCAGTAAATCGCCCAGCTGTCAATTAGTGTCTATTTTAAGTGAACGTTGTGAATTTGGTATGGTTCCAAGGGCAAAATTGGTTTGTCATATTTTACCAAGGTAAGACAGGCTCTGAAAATCTCAGTTCGTGTTACTGTAGTCCATGGAATAATTGTGTTGAGTGAGTGAGTGAGTGAGTGAGTGAGTGAGTGAGTGAGAGATATACTGTAGTCCCTAGTATTATTGTCTTGATGGATTGAAGGAGTGAAATGGTATGATTCAAACGACCTCATAGTGAGTGAGTGAGTGAGTGAGTGAGTGAGTGAGTGAGTGAGTGAGTGAGTGAGTGCGTTTGTTCGTGGTAATTGTTGAGTTTTTGTGTGAGCATGTGTGAGTGAGTCAGACATTACATCTCTTCCAGCACCTCACAGCACGTCAGCCTGACACGGAGGACAGCCCAAAGTAACCCAGGTAGTAGATATTTACCATTTTGGTGAAACCCATGCATGGGTATGGAGCTGACAAACCAGGGAACATGATCAGGGAAAATCTTGGACTCAACCCACAACATTTAGACCACAACCTCAGACCACTGGACCACCTGTGTTCCACCTCCCCGAGAAGCTGTGAGGTTCTGAGTTACTTTGAGACTCCATGCAAGAGACAATAGATGTATGTACAGAAAGGGCTGCAATGGTTACTTCAGTGAACTCAGGACTGTTCTCAACAAGACAATCTTACAGTGCCACAAGTGTCTCATCAGACTTTAACACAGACTAAAGATATAGTCCAAGGAAAAAGATTAGGAAGCCTAATCAACATCCTCCGGCAGCCATCATTGCACCAAGACTGTTGCGACACCCTCACAGCCATTGTATCATTAACCTGTTTCATTGCCTTGAAAGGCCATAGGCCCACAGTACACAATGTGTTTCAGCAGTGATTGTAAAGGCCCAGCAGCCTGTCCATTACTGTGTGGCCAGTCTACAAGTGTTCCTTGAAGAGTTGTATCTCATCTGCTGCTTCAGCAAAACAGACATTACAAGATCATGTTAGAACTTCAAATATTATCATTCACCTGATGAAGGAGTAAGCATATACTCCGAAACGTTGTGTTCCTCATAATAAAGAAGTTGACATCCATATATTCTCTTCCTTCAAATATTATAGTTTTTATTCGTTTGAAGTCGGCAATGTTCCAGCCAAACGACGGTGTCTGTAAATAATCAAGTATGGACCAGACAATCCAGGGATTGATATTGAGGGGAATGATCCATGCCGTCGGGGTACAGTAAACGACATCAACAGAGTCACCAAACATGACCACCTGATCAATTTGGTCGCCTCTTACGACCTGCATAGGTTGTTGCGGACCAAACTGCAGCACCATAGACGACTGGGGCCGCTGCACCCATACAACCGATGCTGATGCTGATGCCGATGCTGATGCCGACCGTGGATACTGATACTGATTCATCAAGATGCTACAAATGTCTCAAAGGACAGACAAATGAAAGGTAGCAAGTAACTTTCTATCTCAAATGACACCTTTGTTTGCGATTTCTCCAAAGAGTGTGAAAATGTATTAGATGCAGAATAAAATCTGCCAAACATGTATCAATTATTGTATCAATTTGGCCCCGAAGCTACAAATTGTCCCCGTGCTGCCCAGTCGATGTAGTTTAACCTGGTCTATGCTCTACCTCCCTGTATCCCAGCCATCTTGTGAAACAATACCAGACATTACCAGTCAAGAAAAAATTAGTCCTCACGGTTCTTATTGATTTTGCTATGTCTGCCAAACGACTGAACGAAACTGATGTCTTATCTAGACAGGGTGTGAGTGATCGACCTGGTTCGCAACCTTGATTGAAATCAGGGATGTGCATCAGCTACAAGGCTATTACACTGGCCCACTAGACAACAAACGTGCCCCAGTTTGCTCTCTCATTACCGAACCCCGTCAAACTCTTTGCTCAAAGGATCAAAGGGCCAAAACAAACTTCTTACACCGAAAGTTATTTTTTCACCCATCTTGTCCATGTTGATCTTGCCAAAAACTTTTTTCAATCCTAAGATTCATTGGTAAATTAGAAATTTCAGAAGGTGTGAGTTGGGAGTTCATTCTTTGAAATTTCTGACGTGCTCGGAAATTGTGATTGATGCCAATGTCATGGCCTCGGTGGAGGTCAGTGGTGGTGGGTGGGTTGATGATTGATGGTGGGATGATGGAAGCGGTAGATAAGATGTGTGATGTGGCTGACTTGGCTGGCCCCGAGTGAGGTGTATATCCTCTCTGTGCGTGTAATTAAACAAAGATGGTGGTAGCCCTGCTTGCTATCTGAGATTGTAGCTACAAATTGTTTTCGTCAAGTGGAAGAATGATGAGAGCTCCAATATAACTTTTAACTCAAGTTACCCAACTCAAGTTCAACTTCAAGCACAAAAGCAGATATCAGAATATCCCATAAGCATTTTGTAACAAGCGTCTCCATTGGCTGAAATGGTCCTCATGATATCTCTTAAGACGAGTTTTGTTTTGACTATAATCCCCTTTCCCAAGATCACAATCAAATGAAGAAACCACAAGAAAAAATTGTTTCACAAAAGTTATTAAACAACATGTCAACACTTTTACAAGTGTGCCACCAAGTGTTTAATGACGCACTCAGCAATATTCCAGCTATATGATGGCGTCTGTAAATTATCAAGTCTTGATCAGACAATCCAGTGATTGATATTATGAGCAACGATCTGCACCATTGGGGCACGACGACACGCAATCAACCAAGTCATCGAGCCTGAACACCCTATCCATTTAGTCACTTATTACGACCAGCATAGGTCTATACTCACCCAGGTACTGCTGTAGCTTCTCGTACTTGGGTCCATGGCGGTACCGGACAAGCTTCAGGTGGACCAGCTGCCCTGTCTTGCGTAGCACCTCCACAGCCTGGTGGTTGGAATAACCTTGGAGGGACAGGCCATCCACCTAGGGTGAAACACCATGTCAAGAACCTGACTCTCACTGTACCCCCAACACTATGTCTGGACAACAACAGCCATAGTGCTGAGTGTCTTTTCATATCAAATACCGTATTCAACATAATAAGTGCCCAGGGCGCTCTCAAAATTAGAAAGAGTTGAAAGATAAATTTCATGGATTATGCTAACAGCCTGAAATGTTAATAAACGACAGTTATATTTTTCCAGAATTTAATTGCCCATAATGAAGGGTGCGTATAACACACGAGTGCGTACTATACGCGAATAAATAAGTCTTGTGTACATTGACCGATCAAAAAGGTAGGTAATTTGGATTGTTCACTCGCCAATATATCAGCAAATATCGCCATGGGCACTTATTAGATTGGGGTGCCAATTACACAAAATACGGTCCATCAGTTAGAGTCAATAAAAAGGTTTATACATTCAGCAGCATTACCAATATTGTTTATACTCATATTGAGTGTTGATATATTTGCTATATTTTTATCATCCGAAATCATTCTTCCAACTTTTTCAGTTTGTAAACAGTAATAACCATGCAGAGTCTTATGTGTCAATAGTATAGCTACCATAGATGTCATTTGATTGTGATGTCATGGTAACAGATGACATCACAATGGTCTGCAAAGCTTTAGAACTGAGGTGTCTGTTCCACAAAGTGATCATAGCGGAATGACAATCATAAGTCTGTGTTAAAGTTTGTGTGTTACGATCACCTCAGCGCTCTGATAGCTTTGTGAGAAAGACACCTGAATTCTAAAGGTAGGCCGTTGTATGGTATGAAATTAAGATATGTCAACTTGTAATGGGTTTGAAGTGTTATTCTGTTAAACTCTGTTGGACCATGCTGTGCATCACGGAGATGTCTGCCGCCTATTGACACACGACAGTGAAATGTTAAAGAGTAATACATGGAAAGTAATAAAGAAAATCCTAACGTTGCCTCCGTTTAATACCAATTTTTTTAAACACGTGAATAGTTGGTATCTGCCTCGTTTATGCTCTTGGTATTACAGGGGAGCGAGCTTAGTATCCAATAGATCTCACACATGCATACCTCCTGTGGAAGCCATTTTTCGATGACAAAATGTTCACATATCCAGCATTACCAAATCGAGCTTTTTCTCCAAGAGTCATACACAGAAATAGTGAGTGCTCTATGGCACTTGTGGTCAAGATCTTCCATAAGACATCTAGGTCAACTGATCAAATTACACATCTAGATTGATGAGATCGTGACAACCATAAATCCTGTTCCCTAGTGAGTGAGTGTGTGACACTGTGTCTCACCTCGATGATCTGGTCATTGACTTGCACTCGGCCGTCCACTGCTGCAGCACTGCCATCAGCGATGCCCTTCACAAAGATGCCGGACACCTCATCTGAAGATGCAAACAGTGCGAGGGAGAGGTGCATTATTGGAGTGAGTGAGTGAGTGAGTTGGGTTCAGGCACAGGAATACGTAGCTGTACACAAAAATAAAAAACATTATTGACCCATGTATCGTCAGAGTGTGGGACCTGAATGTGTGTCATTGCCTGCTGGGAGATAGTGGCATGCAAGTAGTATCCCATGTTACCATGCAACTGGAGCATGTTCAACTTTATTTAAAGTAAATTAAAGAAAGTACTCAAATCAAGTCCACCAGCTCCTGTCCTCAAGTCATGTACCATTACGAAATACCATATTTTCTTGAGTATAATGCGCACCTAAGTATAATGCGCACCCCCCTCTAGTGGATTCAGTATTTTGGAAAAAAAATATTCGATGCACAAAAAAAAATTACACCGTACCCCTTCCAAAGTGAATTCCGGAATGAACGGGTGATAAGAAACTTTGTCAGTACTTATTTGAAATTTGAGATAAAAAATCACCAGACATGTTGATTTACCGTTTAAATTGTATTTTTTGTTCTGCTTTACACTGTTTTACATGCAGGGATTAAGATTACCTTGTGTATTTTCTCATAAACTAAGCAAGAAACAGCAATCAGTTGAACACACATTCTCTTGGAATCTAGCGGTCATTCGGTTAAAACTTACCCAATGATATAACTTTAAAGGATTTTGATGTAAGGATCGTGAAAAGTTGTATCTGAAACTATTTTTTATCAGGAATAATATATTCCAATATCATGTTATTTTAGTTGCATCTTTTACTAAATATATTTAAAAAAATAACAACCCTAAGCGTAGCACTTCAATGCAGCTGATTGCTATTGTCAGTAATATTTTTTCACGTGGAACAATTTGGCCAGTTATCGTCAAGGCTCCCGTGCACATGAGAACTACATGTTGACATAGAATCGTCAGACTACAACAAATATGACTTTTAACGAGTCAAAGTATGGCATTTATGAAATATGTATCAAGTTTGTTTCAAGGTGTCAATAGCGGTAATCTGACTGTTGTTGCTGTTAATAATGGTGAGTTGTGCGATCTTCCGATTGCTTTACACAACGATTTCACCAAAATAACTGAAAACAATCTTAAAAGGAATCTTGAATAAAATTAATGAAGTTACAAGTCCAGATATTCAAAGAAAACTTTTTTATAACCAGACAGTGTAATTACAAGATTACATTGTGTCTTCCAGTACGGATTTGTTGACATGGTATTTCCGGTGTTACGTGCTCATGTTTATGTCTTTACGTTGGGGGAAAGAAAAAAACAAAACTCATTATGGCGTGGATAATGCACACCCCCTTCAACACAGCTGTGGTTTTTTTATTAAAAAAGTGTGCACTTTGTGTAGCCCTCTCACACAATCAATAGTATATTTCAATTCCATCAAAGTGTTTCAGCTAAACACTATGAAGAAAGCCAAGCTGGTGCAGCCTTCGACATTTACCGTCTTGGTAAAACCCTTGAGCATGTAGATTCAATTAGTGTCGGAAGACATATAATTTTGACAGAAACTAGCAATTTCATTTAAATTGAAAAGGAGCTCCAGTGATATGGGAGATTCGGAACCTGTGGAAAATGTAGACTTGCTTCATCATTTAGGATTACAGGGGCTGGGCTGAAGGGAAAATATGGTTCAGGGACTGTTGGACAGTCTAGGGAATAATGCTGACAAATCAGGAACCATTATCAGGGAATATCTGTCATATTGTTTTCAGCCACAATGGCTCTATCCCAGCATTATAAGTCAAGGGGAAACACATGTTAATAGCATGTAGACTTGATACTAAATCAGGCCAAAACTTTGATTATAATGCTATGTCACCAGCGCAATAATACAAATTATAAAGGACAAATTATAGACACAGTCTTATTATGCAGAGATTAGCGATACATGCTTCAGGTTGCCACTTTGTGGGACTATCTGCAAGACCTTGCTACAAGTCAATCAAATCTTCCTTGCCTGAAGACCATTCTGTCAGTACGAGACAACAAACACAAGGCAATGTGTGATGCAAGGTTGGTTGGTTGGTTTGTTGTTTAACGCCGCACTCAGCAATATTCCAGCTATATGATGACGTTCTGTAAAATAATCGAGTCTGGACCAGACAATCCAGTGATTAATATCATGAGCATCGATCCACGCAATTGGGATTGATGACATGCATCAACAAAGTCAGCGAGCCTGACCACCCGATCCCGTTAGTCGCCTTTTACAACAAGCATAGTTGCCTTTTACGGCAAGCATGGGTTGCTGAAGACCTATTCTACCCTGGATCTTCACAGGTATGTGATGCAAGGAGTGAGGGCTCACCAGGTGTGTTGTCCCCTCCGACGTAGCCTGCGATGGTGATGCCCAGTCCATGATTGTCCTTGGTCAGATCCACATCAAAGATTTCTACCTCCGGTACCTCATTCATATCATATGGTTGCTGAAAAATATGATTGTTCTGCTGATTAATAAACATCCCCTTACTCCTATGAAGCATTATATACTAGGTATAAGGCTACCTATTGATGAATATTATTATTCTTTTCAATCATGCAAACAGTAATATCTTTTTCGTATATCATAAACTTATCCTGCAATTAGTGAAAACTCTTAAGACACAGCAATCAATCGACATCATATCCTTTCTTTATTACGATAACGTTGCTGATGTTAGATGTGTTAGTGTAGGTAATCTGGTGAACAAGCACCTGACCAGCCATGATGCTCCTGATCTTATCAGTGTGAGTGTAGGTTATCTGGTGAACAAGCACCTGACCAGCCATGATGTTCCTGACGTTATCTGTGTGAGTGTAGGCTTACCTGGTGAACAAGCACCTGCCCAGCCATGATGTTGCTAATGTTATCTGTGTGAGTGTAGGCTTACTGAGTGGACAAGCACCTGCCAAGCCATGATGTTCCTGATGTTATCTGTAAGTGTAAGCTTACCGGGTGAACAAGCACCTGCCAAGCCATGATGTTCCTAATGTTATCTGTAAGTGTAGGCTTACTGAGTGGACAAGCACCTGCCAAGCCATGATGTTGCTGGTGTTATCAGTGGGAGTGTAGGCTTACCGGGTGGACCTGCACCTGCCCAGCCAGGATGTTCCTACTGTTATCAGTGTGAGTGTAGGCTTACCGGGTGAACAAGCACCTGCCCAGCCATGATGTTGCTGATGTTATCAGTGTGAGTGTAGGCTTACCGGGTGAACAAGCTCCTGCCCAGCCATGATGTTGCTGGTGTTATCAGTGTGAGTGTAGGCTTACCTGGTGAACAAGCACCTGCCAAGCCATGATGTTCCTGATGTTATCTGTAAGTGTAGGCTTACCTGATGAACAAGCACCTGCCCAGCCATGATGTTCCTGATGTTATCTGTGTGAGTGTAGGCTTACTGAGAGGATGGTGTTATCAGTGTAAGTGTAGGCTTACCGGTTGGACCTGCACCTGCCCTGCCATGATGTTCAAGATGTTATCTTTGTGAGTGTAGGCTTACTGAGGGGATGGTGTTATCAGTGTGAGTGTAGGCTTACCGGGTGGACCTGCACCTGCCAAGCCATGATGTTCCTGATGTTATCTGTGTGAGTGTAGGCTTACCGGGTGGACCTGCACCTGCCCTGCCATGATGTTCCTGATGTTATCAGTGTGAGTGTAGGCTTACCGGGTGGACCTGCACCTGCCCCGCCATGATGTTCCTGATGTTATCTGTGTGAGTGTAGGCTTACTGAGGGGATGGTGTTATATGTGTGAGTGTAGGCTTACCGGGTGGACCTGCACCTGCCCCGCCATGATGTTCCTGATGTTATCTGTGTGAGTGTAGGCTTACTGAGGGGATGGTGTTATCTGTGTGAGTGTAGGCTTACCGGGTGGACCTGCACCTGCCCAGCCATGATGTTCCTGATGGACTGTTCCTCCTGCATCCTCATGTCCAGGTTCTCCTGGGAGTCCATGGCCATGATGGCGTTGATCTGATCCAGGTGATCATCAAGGAGATGGGTGGGGACGACTGGGGCATGGGGGATCTGGAAGGGTGGGGGCTCCATCACTGACCGAGCGACGATGAGGCGGACATTACTCCCAGACTGCCGGAGAACCAGGGCCACCTGTTCTGACCCCATTCCTCGAACATTCACCTCTCCGATCTGAAGGATGTGATCTCCACTTCGCAGCCGTGTGTCCTGGAAAGAAAAGCAAAAATACTTAATTCTGAACTCAATATACATTATATATCACAAAAACAAACAGAAATTCATCTCATCTTGGGGGAATCTCTTTTCACAACCTCATGGCACAGTAAACAAACAGACAAGTTATTCCTATCATGTAAATCTCACTGTTTCGACTGTTTTCTACAAATGCAGTGGATACACATTTTCTCTTCCGCATCCATGAAGCTGTCTGTACTTGTTACTCTGTTGACTGTACAAACAGCTGTGGGACCTGAAGTACACACATTTCAGTATAAGTCTGTAATATCACACAACACCAGTGCCACCCCAGGCACACAGTGGGCATAGAGGGAGAAGGTGAACGTGCCAGAATAACAAAAAAAATCACATACAAATTTTCAGAAAGAAGAAGAAGAATCATAATAATAATGTTCAGATAAATAATGCGCCAAACCCACACTCTGAAGCATGCTCAATGTGCGACATTACTACCCAGTCAATGGATCAGTGTGCACTCGATTTTCATTCTGGATCAGTGCACACTCAATGTTCATTATCAGCTCCCTGGGGAGAATACAACCCAAGCTGCCTGTGAGGCGCTAGAAGCCTAACAGTCACATTACTATCTCTTCCTACCGGGCTATGAATACCAAAAGCAAAGTTTGTATTCCACATTGGTCTAATGCTCCCAAGGAGGGTCAAAAACTGAGTTACCTAAGAAATAAAACAAATAATTAACATGAAATAAAAGCCTGCAGGGATTCAATTTTCTTCCTGTCTGTGTAGGTTCAGTGCCTCCGTACTCGTACAGAATAATCCATCAGGTAATTACTTCATGGAACAGCCAATGAAAAAACTTTTAAACAATTAGTATTTCTTTCAAGACTTCAATTTACTACAATTCGTTTTTCAACTTTAATTTCAAGATGTCTCGTTCTGTTTGCCATGATCGAACTTGACATTTCCAAGCTCATGTCGTAGGCCCACTTTTTTAATCTTCAATCTTGCTCTTGGTTCAGTCAATTTTCACAAAGAAAAAACCAGTTCGGTGACCAATCTGTACGCACCCTTGGATGCAAATGGCATTAACATTTATTCAATCTCATTTATACCTGTTAAAAAACATCCAAAACAGAAAGAAAACCCAAACATTCTTGACTTGGTCTTTTCAATGGATACAACTAAGACTGAGGTGAATGCTCCTGGCAAACAGACAATGAGAGCCCGGGATGTTCTGGAGGGTTTCTTCAGTGGAAGTCTCCGTCCCTGGTCTGTCTTCCGTTATACTCAGGTCAGTACCTGATACGTAACTTAGATAAATAACCATGCTTCAGAAAACAGCTGACAAATATTTAGCTAAGAAACAGCTTTGATCTTTTGATGATGTTCCACATCGCTCTCTGATGGCAGTGTTTTCAATCATAATCACACGGCACACACTGTAGTTTTCGTTTGGAGGTTTATGTCAACACTTCAATGTCAAGGTGGTTAATTGCTCAACTGAATCGGGTCAGCTGTCACACAATCAACCTTCACCTCAACCTCTAATCATGGCGGACTTATCCATATCTCAGAAGTTGTATTGGCAATGGCAACTATCATTTGTCATAAAGATCTTTTTCTTATTTATTGTTCATTGATCAATAAGAATGGCACTTTCAATGAACTAAACAAACACTACCTTGAACCCAATTCTAGTTTCAGAAAGTTCATATTTGATCACATTTGTTGTGCTGTATGATCCACTATCATCAAGAGAGCATGTTCTGCATCATTCCAGCCATTTCAAATCTGGAAACAGGATTTCTAACTACAATAGGCCTGCCCACAACCCCTTTCACCAAAAAAGGACTAACCTGAATGTGATGACACTGTTTATAGTATGTAGTCAATGACAGCTTTATATTTGGAGAAAATATAATATTTGAACTGCTCTCAATAATCAACAATCAAGATCCATGGCACCACTTAGGTTAGCCAACCATCTTGCATTTAAAAATTAATAAATATTTGTTATTACTATTTCTTTGTTGTCTCAGCAATGATCTAAGCTGTCTGGGTACGATCACACGCAATCAACTAAGTCACCAAGCCTGGGACCCGTGAAGATCCGGGGTAGAATAGGTCTTCAACAACCAATGCTTGCTGTAAAAGGTGTCTATGCTTGTCGTAAGAGGCAACTAAGGGAATCGGGTGGTCAGGCTCGCTGACTTGGTTGATGCATGTCATCGTATCCCAATTACATGGTCAATGCTCATGATGTCAATCAATGGATTGTCTGGTTCAGACTTGATTATTACACACCGCTATCATACAGCTGGAATATTATGCTGAGTGTGGCGTTAAACAACAAATAAACAAACAAACACCAAGACTGAACACTTAATCCATTTGGTACGACCAGCATAGGCAATGCTGGGGACCTATTCTAACCAAGACTCCCCATGGTGAAAAGATTAATAAAACAATGACCACAATGATCTAGAATATTGGTGCAAAAGGACCCTTTGAGGACGATGACCTGTTCCACAGAGATCTGTTAAATCCTCATATTTCAACAAAAACAAAAAGAAAAAAAAGTAAAAGGGAGTTTCACTTTCAGAGCCTTCTGGGGAAAGCAAACATGAGACACCATTGATATATCATATCTTGAGATTACAAATCTGCCTTCAAAGGATAAAAAAATACTCAAAAATCAACGTACACGTCAGATACTGTAACAATTTGTGTCTCTTGTCAGACATGTCTCTAAACAAACACTGCGAAGCTGACATCCTGACAACTACTGATCAATGGTGGGAACCTCAACCGATCATGTTTGCCAGCTCGTACTAAGTCCCTTTATCTCAGCCATTCACGACCAATATTCACTGCTCACAATTTCTCGCTTTGTGTACTCAGCGTGAATGCCCAGAAAACATTCAAGGCAATCCCAAAGTAATTGAAGCCTGCATGCATGTGAGCCCCAACATTGCCTAGTTGTCAGGAAAGTACTCTAAATGACACGTATTTACAAAACTGGACAAATCCAAAAAATACTTGAGGGTCTTTGACCTTGAAGCCCCATCTTAGGTATGTTATTATGAAGATTGTAGAGGGAACAGGTTTTTCTATCTTTGTACCACACATGTTAATATCTCAACATCGGACTCTTACCAGGACAGCCTTGTGTCTAAAGATTACAGCTACAAATCCTTCAAAAATTTCAATGGAATCAGGCTGGAGCAATTTGTTTGACAAATAGAAATTTTAACAGTAATAAGTGCATCATATGATTCCTACACAAGTGCTACCAAATCTCCATATTGGAGGATTACTGTATTAAAACGCAATGTTCCTGAAGAAGGCGCCAAGGGACTTAATTTATGGTTCACAACTGAAAAATAATGAAAAGACGTATCGTCTTATAAGACTCAAACATTTCCATTGATTTGTTGTAATGACTATAAACTTTCATTAATAAGTCGATGAACACATGACATCTGTTGTATCAATACTGATATGAAATGTGAAAAAGCAATTTTCAGTATGGCCAACAGGGCAAGAATGTCCCAGCAGTTGATGTCAATATTACTACAAGACAAGGCTGCAGTGGATATTATCAAAGGCTTCATACATCCTCAGATGGACATGGCATTTTCAGTACTGATCAATGCATTCACCGTCATTCTGTTTGCCTGGAGTATTTACTTTTTAGTATGGCAGGTGTTGCACAACTTATTGAGACTGCAAGAGACTAATCTTCCATCAGGAGTTCACTCGTACCAAAGCTAATTTGTGGTTGCAGAACTAAAGACAAGATAATACGGATGGTCAACTTCTCCTGTCCATGAAATCATTAGTTTACCAGTACATAGCCAACCTCTAAATGCCACTCAAGGATCAAGTGACTATGATTAACTCTGCTCTTACGCCTTCTCTAAACCAGTGTTGGTACTCAAATAACATACCAATTTCATGCCACTTAACCAATGTTCAATGTTGTTCAATGTATTGTCATAATTCCAGGCCTTTTCCCGAAGTCACCTGTATAGAGACTCATCCTGAATAGATGCCCAAGGTCCACACGGACAATGACAGAAACTGATGCAAACTGTTAATTTCTTGTAATAATGCAACATTGTTGATACTTGATCTTGACAAAGAAATAGACCAGGGCCCACTTGCACAAAGCGATCTTAGCGCAAAGATGATCATAACTCCCATACTATAACATAGGTTTACAATAGTCGTAGCGCTAAGATCGCCTTGTGCATGTGAGCCCAGGAACCAAATACAATCTCTCATCACAAACAATAAGTAGTACAATCTCGAATCAGAGAACCACAATCAAAGCTACAAAGAAAATTATTTCTGAGCTCCATGCTTTGAATTTTGTTCTGACTCTTAACCAAGGTCCTCTATTACAAGAAACTGATTTTGTTTGGCATCACTTCCTGGCCATGACTCTTTGACTTCCCCCTCGGTGGAAGAACACGATATGTGAGAAGACCGCCATCTGCTCCGTGGCATGAGTACGGTTTCACATAATGGACATCCTCCAGATCAGCATCGAGCTTCACATCCTCATCACGACTATATTTATCTTCCAGCAAGAAGGAAAGGAGACACAAGAAAAAAAGTTTGTCATCATTTCATACAGGTGAAATGCTACACCAGTGCATCGTAGGTTTTCATGCGACGATACAAAACATTTTTTTTATCGATACAAGAAGATACATTTGCAAAAATATATTACTTACTACTAAGTTCTTACAACTACAAGTTCACGACTACAAATAGCAACCTCGCACATGTGCCTACAGCTAGCTTTTCCTTTGGAAGCTGATCTGACATAAAATTGTGTATCACGATACAAATTGTATCATGACCTCGCTGTATCGTTTCATCCCTCATATTTTAATGACTAAGTATTCTGACGTGAAATTGTGAATCACGATACACATCGTATCTTGATACGTATCGTATCCTGACCTCGCTTTATCGTTTCACCCCTAATATTTTAATGACTAAGTATTCCATATCATCTTGGCCATTATCTTCTGGATAATGTTTCACAAACCAAATTTGACATTGGTGATCTGATTTTGTGGGGCACACTGTTGTCCCAGTCATCTGACACATCACAATTCACTGTGGAGCTCCGTAGGCATGCCAGAAACCTGATCATGAATTTGAGTGCCAGATTTGCCCTGATCATGTTTCTAGGTTTGTCAGTACCATACCCGGACCCGTGAAGATCCAGGGTAGAATAGGTCTTCAGCAACCCATGCTTGGCGTAAAAGACGACTATGCTTGTCGTAAAAGGCGACTAACGAGATCGGGTGGTCAGGCTTGCTGACTTGGTTGATGCATGTCATCGATCCCAATTGCGTGGATCAATGCTCATGATATCAATCACGGGATTACAATTAAAAATATCAAAGCAACGCGAAACCAAACTTGCTCACCCACTCACTCATTTCAATATGATTCAAAGTCCATTGCAATATTTCTTCATATGAATTTTAAACAAATCCGACAGAAAATCTCCCAATTTGGTGTTTGTTAAGAGTTATTACATTTTGATTTCCCTTCTCTAACTGAAAGATAATAATATCACAACCAGAAATGGAACATGAAGTATTACAGAGGTTTCAAATGAGTAGGATCTCCTATTTCAGAGCTTGCACACAAAACAAACTTGATCTGAGAGAAAGAGTTACTAACGTAACCATAAACATGATAAAGCCGTAAATGTCTTTCAAGCCAACCCTACAGTTTGACACATTAGCCCCAAGTATTCTTCTAAAGACAATGACCTGTCCGAGGGCACAACAGAAGATGAGTTTCACTCCTTAGACACTGATGCTGTGCTGAGAAATAAATGTGGCTTGACATCTGATGGCAGAGGAGACAGCCAGATTTAAACGCCATCAAATAATACAATGTAATTATAGAACTTTCATCACATGCTCTGATGGAATTAAAGAGCCATTAAGACCGTAATTACTGGAAAAGGCAGAGATCTTTGTGATCGACCTCTGCCTAGACTGTTCAAGTGAAAAAGACAGATTTGAGGCATTTCAAAATGGCCGCTAATGCTGTCTGCTACAAAAGTGAAATTAGGTACCAACAGGGTCAGAATTCTGTCAATCACAAGTGTGGGATTGAATATTATCATGGTCTTGTAAAAGGAACAGCAAAATTGATGTTGGGATCTTGGAACATGCTAATTGAGGGGTGCTTTTACTCACCATGGACCACTAAATTTATATGAGAAAAAATGATTATCGTCTCAATACTTGAACATTTGTTGAAACAACTTTTCATATTAATGAGAAAAAAAGCAGAAATCATTCAAATGCTAATATTATCACAAATTTTCTTTACAAAAGTGATGTTTGTACAGATTCATTTGAGTTTGATAAATCTGTCTTTAATACAGTGGTATGAGATAAATCTGTCTGTAATACAGTGGTGTGAGATAAATCTGTCTGTAATACAGTGGTGTGAGATAAATCTGTCTGTAACACAGTGGTGCAAGGAGATAAATCTGTCTATAACAGTGGTGTGAGATAAAAAAAATTCCGCATAATATTCGAAAAAAAAAAGATTTCTCAAAAATACTGAATCCACTACTATAGAACAACTTTTCATATTAATGAGAAAAAAAGCAGAAATCATTCAAATGCTAATATTATCACAAATTTTCTTTACAAAAGTGATGTTTGTACAGATTCATTTGAGTTTGATAAATCTGTCTTTAATACAGTGGTATGAGATAAATCTGTCTGTAATACAGTGGTGTGAGATAAATCTGTCTGTAACACAGTGGTGCAAGGAGATAAATCTGTCTATAACAGTGGTGTGAGATAAATCTGTCTGTAACACAGTGGTGTGAGATAAATCTGTCTGTAACACAGTGGTGTCAGATAAATCTGTCTGAAACACAGTGGTGCAAGGAGATAAATCTGTCTGTAACACAGTGGTGCAAGGAGATAAATCTGTCTGTAACACAGTGTAGTGAGATAAATCTGTCTGTACCACAGTGGTGTGAGACAAATCTGTCTGTAATACAGTGGTGTGAGATAAATCTGTCTGTAACACAGTGGTGTCAGATAAATCTGTCTGAAACACAGTGGTGCAAGGAGATAAATATGTCTGTAACACAGTGGTGCAAGGAGATAAATCTGTCTGTAACACAGTGTAGTGAGATAAATCTGTCTGTACCACAGTGGTGTGAGACAAATCTGTCTGTAATACAGTGGTGTGAGATAAATCTGTCTGTAACACAGTGGTGCAAGGAGATAAATCTGTCTGTAACACAGTGTAGTGAGATAAATCTGTCTGTAACACAGTGGTGTGAGATAAATCTGTCTGTAACACAGTGGTGTGAGATAAATCTGTCTGAACTACAGTGGTGTGAGATAAATCTCTCTTTAACACAGTGGAGTGTGATAAATCTCTCTGTAACACAATTGTGTGCAATTATGTATGTATATATATCTATATATATATAACATTGATGGTGTACATATCTGTCTGTATCACAGTAGTGTGACATGATTGACATATCCAACTGTGGCGTGAGGAAAACCTGACTTCAAAAGTAGTGTTTATTATCTCTGACTACCATCGTGACTAGTGCACTCACCACATCTGCCACGCCTCCCGGCAATATAGTCTTGACAACCACCCCTGTGCTTCGTCCTCCAATGATTCCAAATCCAAGGCCTGTTCCATCATTAATAAGATCAATAACTTCAATTTGGGTCCATTCGGTGCTTAGCTGAAAGGAAAGAAAAAAACATTAAAAAACACCAAACAAAAAATACACTTGTTACACACAAAAGATAAAACATAATGATACAAACAAAAGATGATAATGTCATCGTTTTCACCGGCCACTTAAAGGGTTTGCGTCATAGAAGTACGGACTATCAGAGGCACTTCATGACTGATTATGCTCTGGTGCTGACATTTTGAACTGAAATCATTTCAGCCTGGTCTTCATGTATGTGATAACCGAAGTAGTACCAGTACTTCCAGTGTTTCAGTAGTCATGGGAATAACAGACAAATGGTCGTGTGTAAGCCTGAATGACTCACAAGGAATAACCATTACACAGTTACAAGTAAGTTATAACCGAATCACTGGTTGATTCCAAGAAAACGTGTTCCAAGATTGCTGTGTCCTGCTGAGTTTACAAGAAAATACACAAGGTAATCTTAATCCCTACATGTAAAACAATGCCTAGCAGAACGCAAAATACAATTTAAACGGTAAACCAACATGTCTGGTGATTTTTTATCTCCAATTTCAAATTTGTACTGACCAAATTTCTTATCACCCCTTCATTTACCGCATAATATTCGAAAAAAAAAAGATTTCTCAAAAATACTGAATCCACTACTATAAAGGGGGTGCGCATTAAACTTGGGTGCGCACTATACTCAAGAAAATACGCTACTCTATATTTGTCCTTGGTTTGACCTATTGACCATTTGAACATTAATTTGTTAATTATTTCAGACATCACATCAGCCTTCAGTTGAAAAGTATACAAGCAAACTTCTCAAGTTTCAACAAACATTGCTGTGCTGTAATTCTGCTCCAGAACAAATTGTTTTATAAGGAAAGGTGGAATGGCAATGAAAAGGATGCAATTCCAATTATATAGTTGCGACCTCGGATGATTAGTCTTGTTAGCATGGACTCATATCTGCCCAGTCTTTACTCCAGAGTCATAAGGAGAATTCCAGGTGTTATTCCATCCGCAAGACATATATAATTCCTTGTTTGTCCTGGCTGCTGCTGGTGGAATTGGAAGTGACAGGTTGTTAAGCCAGGGTATTATGACCAGATTAGCTGAGTAGAAATTGCCAGGATTTGTTGCAGTCCCACAAAGCAGACACTGAGACAGCAGAGTGGACACACTTCAAGCTGGCTCGTATACCCAGTTGTGATGGGTCAGGGTCACATCTTCCAATGTTGTATCCCTACTTCAGCTTATGTAACATATTAAAAGCATGGTCAGATCCAGCACAATCTCAGGCCAGTAACATACTCAGTAGAAGCACATCTTCAGATCAGGAACATTGCTTAGTTTGTTGGTTGGTTTGTTGATTTACGCCGCACTCAGCAATATTCCAGCTATATGACGGCGGTCTGTAAATAATCAAGTCTGGACCACACAATCCAGTGATTAATATCATGAGCATCGATCCACGCAATTGGGATCGATGACATGCAGCAAACAAGTCAGCGAGCCTGACCACCCGATCCCGTCAGTTGCCTCTTACGACAAGCATAGTCACCTTTTACGGCAAGCATTGGTTGCTGAAGACCTATCCTAACCCGGAATCTTCAAATCAGCAACATTGCTTAGTTGAAGAATGTGCTAAGACCAGGAACAAACTCAGTTCAAGAAGATACTCAGATCAGGAATATTGCTCATTTGAAGAATGTTTTATAACATTGCTCAGTTCAAGCACATTTGCTCAGACCAGGAACATGTTCAGTTACAACTTAAGCCCAGATAGGCAACATTGCTCAGTTGAATGTGCTAAGATCTAGAACACTGCTCAGCTCAAACACATGCCTGGGACAGGAATATGTTCAGTTGATGCAGTTCTGCAGCACATTCAAAAATGAGAGAAACAAACTTTGACATAAACAATGATATTTATCGCATCCAACTTGAGGTACTGATAAAAACCCTAGTCACAAAGTAAAGCGACACAAACCAAAACAAAGCTCATAAAACCCTTCCAATGATGTATCAAGCCTATATGTAATCCCGACAGAGTCGCTATATACACGAACAAGAACCAATAAATGGCAAATATGAGCATGTTTATGTATATCTCCCAGCTCTTGCTGCCAACGAGCCCCTTGGTACCACCTAACAACAAAGAACAGGAAGCAGAGTGATTGAATGAATGCTACAATATTAGGTTCACCAAAACTTGCGCTAAATTTCCATTTGGAGAGATTTCTTGCAAAGTATTTTGGCACAATGCTCAATTTAATGATCTCTGGTTTTCCTGTTCTACTCATAAAAGTTGGTTCCAACATTTGTCCGGTTATGTCATGTTGTGGGAATACTATTGCACTCTAGGCTCTATGCTCTATGCACTGGCAACTCACAACTGAGCCATTGTGGCAGAAAACTGGTAAGAAACCCATACACTACAAAACTTGGCCTCCTGATTATCAAAGATTTACATTTCAAAAGAAATCAAACTGGAAAATGCCTTGATATAAAACAAAAAGGCACGAGCATCATTAGATGATCCTTCATCAATAAAGCATTGGAATAATTTCTAGCAGCAAATCTTGTTACACATAAATGGAAGTTTTGAATTGATATGTTTGCAAACACCAGATGAAAGAGTTAAAATATGTTTCACATGAAACCTGAAAATGGTCACGTTGAACCTGTTTCAGTAAGTCACAATGTTTCAGTGAGTCAATGTTTCTGAGTCAATGTTTCAGTGAGTCACAATGTTTCAGTGAGTCAATGTTTCTGTGAGTCACAATGTTTCAGTGAGTCACAATGTTTCAACATGCTATCCGCACACCCCAAAGGGCTTTACATTGAATGCTATGACAGATTAGCCAAATAAACCCTCCTAATTTGTGTATAAAGTATTAACAAGTCCACTTCAATCCATGAACTCTTGTTTCTTCACCTGATTCCTCCACTTCAGACTAAATAGCCACATTTAATTGTTCCACTGTTGAACCACAAAATTGCCAATCATGTCAAGAACCTTTCAAATTCTTCTATCAGAAAAATAATCGAATACGCCGCCATGAAAAACTGACAAGGAAAACAAAACACCAGAATCTAGGTTTCCCCATCTGTGAAATAATTCAGGAAAAAATACCAATGCTTTTTGATCTGTGAACATTTTGATTTGGTCTTGACGATAAAAGTTTGACAAATCCATAAAGTCCAAAGGAGTAGAATTGCACCAACACATCAAGGAATGGTCTATAGGATCAATTCAATTTATCACTCAAGTATTTCTCTACGCCAGATCAACAAAAGGCCTTTGGAAGGGAGCTTGTTTGCTTTGTATCTGGGTCTCCGTCAAGGTGGAAACTTAACCAAAAGGTGGCTCAGCTTACCTCTACTCTTGGAGCTTTGAATTATTGTAAGAATTATCATTCAATCCATCAGATGTTATATGTGTGACCAACGCAGAGAAAATGATGCCCTTAATGGGACACACAAAAACAGGTTTTGTGTGGAACATGGGAAATGAAAGCCCAAAGGTTTTTTATAGTCACAATGTTTGAAGGGATGGAAACTTTATTTTCTCATAATGCAATTCTCTTTTGACGCTTGTATATTTACCATTCAAATCAAATCAAACGTAAGCATTTCAGACGAATGCTTCTTTACACAGAACTGACATCAAAACAAGCAAGAAGAACAGAACGTGGTCTCATCTTGATTTTGATTCTGAAGTGGCATTTGGAAATTTTTAGAAAACAAAAATGGTTAGAGTGGATGTTGTTTTATACAGTCAGCATTATGGCTGGCCAGTAAGTAATACCGTCTGGGTCAGGCAAACTAGTGGTTAATAGTATGAGCAACAACATAGTGAAACAATGACACATTTAGCCACATCACCACCTCGTCCTCATTTTCTACAATGTATTCTTAAACTGGTAGATCCCAATAAATCCTTCAACACTGACTTCCTGAAGAGTTATTCATCGGTGAGATCAAGCGACATCTCCTGGGTGCCGTTGTACAAAGCAGTCTTAGCGCTAAGGTGACCATAACTCCAATAGATTAAAATAGACTTACGACAGTCGTAGTGCTAAGGTTGTTTTGTACAACGTCACCCTGGTAGAAAAAGCAACCATGAAATTGCATCACAATGCTTGGCAGACCATTGTGACATCATCGATTAACATGATGTCACAATCAAATGACATCACTTATCTCTCTGCCACTGCAGCTCTTACACTGACAAAGTTGGAAGAATGATTTTGGATGATAATAGAATCTCACTCTCATATCTTTTGTCATCTTCAGAGGTTCAAACCTTTTTGCCTCGTTTTGATATATTTGACATCAACAGACACTCAGATATATTCTCTTATAATCCACGTCATCATCTAATCCTCAGTTTTTTTCTGACCTACAACCCTCATTGCACAAATACAAATGGTTTAGTTATTCTTAAACTTTTCACAAACAATAGTATGATTTGATTACACTACCCCAGAAAGGTACCTCTACATCCAGAATTGTTGTCCAGTTTGCTGTCAGTGAGTGCATCTTCACTCTGCTTTTAGCAATATCCCAACAATAGCATGGCCAAGAACACCAAACATTGGCAGTTGAACCAATGTTGGGAATCAAACCTTGGTTTTCTATGTGCCAGGCACTCCCTTTCACCACTGTGCTGTGCCATACCATACAAACCTAGACAGTATCAAACATAGGCTATTTACATTACACCCATGTTGTGCAAACGCTGTTTTTTCTGTGTGACAGGCAAATACTTTCACCACTGTACTACCTCAGTGCCAGGAAAATCCAAACACTTCAGCAGAATGCTCCCTACAAATCTCAAGGCCAAATTTTGAGTGATGAAATAACGATGGAACTTCCAAAGATATTCGTGGGTGAAATACAGAATGAATCCAGGGGGAATCGTCTCCTGACATGCTGTGTTTTTTTAACAACCTTTCTTTAATTAAACTATCAAAGACTAAAAACCTCTTCACCAATGAGACTTCATAATCAATACGAATAGGACGTTT